GAGTCTCTATACAACATTCCCTCAAAAATACCCCTTGCCATATCAATATGCCCAAAGTGGGCATATGCTACAAGCATAGCGTTGGAAAACATGACGTCATAGCTTGGAACCTTGAGATAGATATACTCAGCGGATTGGAGATAACCTCGTAAAGAATAGGCGCGGAAAAGAGCCGTCCATGCGATAAGATCTCGCTGTGGCATACTGTCAAACAGGTTCTTACACAAATCAAAATACCCAGTTTGGGCATATGCAACTGCGACGGTGTTCAGAACCACAAGATCTCTTTGTGGCATTTTCTCGAGCAGAAATTTGCATTCCAGAATTGATCCGTTCTGCGCAAGCGCAGTGATCAAAAGGCTCCAGGAGAAGAGATTTCGATGTTGGATGCATTGGAAGACAAACAGCGCAGAAGTGGGATCCGCGCACTTGCCATACATTTGGATCAAGAGATTGCCCAAGTAGCGATCGTGAGGCAATTGGCGGGTGATTTGGTTGTGGAGACGCTTGCCTTCTGAAATGTCTCGGCAGGATTTTAGCAACTGAACAATAGCATTAAAGGTATTCATTCATTAGCTGTTTACAATGTCTTGTGGTGGCCACTAAGACAATAAGATGTCATGAGCCGTTCCTTCGCTGAACTCCTCTAGGTCTTCTGGCACCAAGCCTTCTGTCCCCTGATCTGCCTGCCACCCCTTCTGTGGCATCTTGGGTTGGAACCTCAATGTAATCCTCATTTAGCTATGGTGAGAAGTATTGTCACCCTTGTTTTGCATCTGACTCAGCTGCAGTGTAATCATGAGCATGGCATCTATGACTAAGGATTGCCACTTGATCTCCATTTCTGGTAGAAATTCTTTGGCTCAATGTTCACCTGTGAAGATTACATGTAGAACTGCACACAAAGACTTATGGTTGGCATAGTGCTTTAATTGTTTATATAACTTAGGGTGAAATATTCTTTAATAAAGTTAATATGTTATTTATTAATTAGTAGGTGTTAATTGGGTGTTTACACATGCAAATATATTCAATTGCATTTAATTGCTATTATCCAAATCAAAATGTGTTTGTGTGCATTATAATATTTGCATAGGACATACCATATGCAGGGGGTATGCCACTTGCAATGATGTGTACAGCTTTATCATCTCCTCTTTTTTGACAGCAAGATTGTAGGCTCCAATTTATTCGATGTACCATACTATGCTTCAATCTCATCTATGACTGTTGCCATAAAGAATGAAAATTGGCTCCACTGCACGATGCAAGTGTAGATGGCATTGTGTGGCAATAGGTCAAGCAATAGAAGGTAAACTTGAACCTATATCAACCAACATGGAGGACATTTTGTTATAAAAACGAGTTTGGAAAGTAAACACTGAATGAACTAGTGCCACTTGCTGCTACTGTAAAATTTTACTCCCCTAGATCAAACCTTCATCCTTTGCAAAGAGCTTGAGTGCTATGCTGTAATATATATGGTATTCACAAATTTTTCTTGTTCTGAAGTAGAGACCAACTAGACTCTAGATTGATCCCCAGGTGCATGTAATTACATAAGATCACAAGTGTGTGCTCAGTGCATCAGAAACCCTAATCAAGTGCTCCAACACAGTGATGACATTGCTAGATTGGCAAAGCTGGTGATGGACGATAGCCAATGTGTGGAAGCTCATGGCCAACACTCTTTTGGCAGTGAATGTCTATGATGCATGATTTAGGTACACTTTCAATCCAATTGAATCTCACCACACATTTTTGCCATTCTTGCTAAACTTAAAAAGATGAAAAAG